TCTTCGATCCCTGCAATGCTGCCTCTGGGATGAAGTGCTGAGCTGAGAACAAAATGGCATCGACCACATGGCCTCTTTATACCTCCTTCCTGGCCTCTCCTTGTATGCAGCCGGTCACCTGGCCCTCAGCCTCTCTCTGCTGGCAGCTCTTAGGTCTCCGCCCTCATGCTTTAGGTGTGTCCTTGGCCCATCGAGTGCCATTGTCCCACAGGGCCTCGCTAATCAGCCTGTCCATAGCAATGCTCAACCACATTCAGAGAAATATTCAGCTTCCACACAGATTACAGATTCCTACCTACACACACAGACATTATATACCCACATAAATAGCGTACACAGGATCAGCAAACAATAAGCTCCCATTCAATACCTCACATGGCCCCTTTCTATACCATCTTTGGGGCCAACACCCCCACCTATGGGTGCAGCAGCGATCTGGCTGCTCCGCTTAAATTTGGTAACGTGACAAACAGGCACAGCGATATTATGATGATGATATTCTAACCCCTTCGTCACAGTATTTTATGGGAGCTCACTGATGGGAGGTGCTATTGGGCAGGTTTTGCTTCGCTGCATAGGGGTCTCCTGTCTGTAGGCTGGTGTTATCGTTGCATCTGAAGCCAGGAATATTGGTGGTAACTGCATGGTCTGTGATTACTAGCAGATGGACCTGGCATTGCTCAGGTCTGTAAGGGAAAGTTTGGAGTTTTTTTGAAAAATCAATGACAAATGTCCAGGCTTTATTTCAATGACTGTATTTTTCCAACATGAAGGAAAATGAAGGCTGGAGAGGGAGCTCGGGAGTGAGGAGTGGCAGGGGGAATGAGGCTTAGGGCTGAGGGTTGGGAGGTGTGGGGGGGCTCAGAGCAGGAGGCGGGATTGAGTGGGGGGGTGTTCAGGCCCGAGGGAGGCGGGTGCGGAAGTGAAGGCAGGTGGGAGATGAAGGACTCAGGGCAGGGGGCCGAGGATAGAGGGATGGGAGTTGGGGGCTTACCGGAGCTGCCCCGGGTGGCGAGGGGGGCACTATCCGGCAGCGACTCCCCTGCTACCATCCCCCACCAGCTGCCCTCCCCCATGTCCTGCAGGCTGTGCGGGGAGGAGCCAGGATCTAGGGGCTGCCCCTCCTCCAGTCCGCCCATCCCCATGGGCTGCAGGCTCTCCACGGGGGCCAGGCTCGAGGTTTGGGGTAGGGAGTTCAGAGCCTGTAGGCAAGATGATGGAGGCTTGATGCTGCTGCTGCCCGCAGTGGGTGAAATATTCAGCTTCCACACAGATTACAGATTCCTACCTACACACACAGACATTATATACCCACATAAATAGCGTACACAGGATCAGCAAACAATAAGCTCCCATTCAATACCTCACATGGCCCCTTTCTATACCATCTTTGGGGCCAACACCCCCACCTATGGGTGCAGCAGCGATCTGGCTGCTCCGCTTAAATTTGGTAACGTGACAAACAGGCACAGCGATATTATGATGATGATATTCTAACCCCTTCGTCACAGTATTTTATGGGAGCTCACTGGTGGGAGGTGCTATTGGGCAGGTTTTGCTTCGCTGCATAGGGGTCTCCTGTCTGTAGGCTGGTGTTATCGTTGCATCTGAAGCCAGGAATATTGGTGGTAACTGCATGGTCTGTGATTACTAGCAGATGGACCTGGCATTGCTCAGGTCTGTAAGGTAAAGTTTGGAGTTTTTTTGAAAAATCAATGACAAATGTCCAGGCTTTATTTCAATGACTGTATTTTTCCAACATGAAGGAAAATGAAGGCTGGAGAGGGAGCTCGGGAGTGAGGAGTGGCAGGGGGAATGAGGCTTAGGGCTGAGGGTTGGGAGGTGTGGGGGGGCTCAGAGCAGGAGGCGGGATTGAGTGGGGGGGTGTTCAGGCCCGAGGGAGGCGGGTGCGGAAGTGAAGGCAGGTGGGAGATGAAGGACTCAGGGCAGGGGGCCGAGGATAGAGGGATGGGAGTTGGGGGCTTACCGGAGCTGCCCCGGGTGGCGAGGGGGGCACTATCCGGCAGCGACTCCCCTGCTACCATCCCCCACCAGCTGCCCTCCCCCATGTCCTGCAGGCTGTGCGGGGAGGAGCCAGGATCTAGGGGCTGCCCCTCCTCCAGTCCGCCCATCCCCATGGGCTGCAGGCTCTCCACGGGGGCCAGGCTCGAGGTTTGGGGTAGGGAGTTCAGAGCCTGTAGGCAAGATGATGGAGGCTTGATGCTGCTGCTGCCCGCAGTGGGTGGAAGGTTGGGTGCAGGAGCGGGCTGGGGGTGAGGGTGCAGGGTCTAGGAGGGAGGGAAGGGGGAAGGAGGGGCAGGGAATTGGGGTCTTATCTAGTGTAACTTCCGGAGAAGCACAGGAGGCTCCACACTGCCCTGTTTTTGAAGGCACCATCCCCACTGCTCCCATTGGCCATTAGTCCTGCCAATGGGAAAGAGGGGGTTGGAGCTTGTGGGCAAATGCTTCCCTGCACTTCTGTGCCCCCGCCCCCACCAGGCAGAAGCAGCCATGCAGGGGCTTTCATGCCAGCTCCCCACTGCTTTCCTCCACTGCGGGAGAGGGGAAGCCCCAAGACTCATAGGCCGGATC